GTGTGTGTGTGTGTGTGTGTGTGTGTGTGTGTGTGTGTGTGTATTATGTATGCCTGATATGGGAGTAGAAATGAGATTCACTTAGTTCTGCCATCATAGGTCTAGTCTTCATTGGGTGTTTCTCTCCCTTTCTCTTCTCTGTTTCCCCCCCTCTTTCCCTTCCTCCCTCCTCCTACCCTGTGAATCATTAAGGTTGTTTAGAGGGTCAGGAGTATGAGAAACTTACTAGTGACTATACCATGGAAGGAAATGTCTCTCTTCTACCTGAAGCCATCAACTGCCTATAGATCCCCAGGGAAGGGACGGGCCTTCCTCAACAATTATTAACTGCCTTCTTAATATTATATAACAATACCACTCATTTCTTCTCATTATCCTTGGTATTTATTTAAAGTCTCCTGAGACAATATGTGAATATCATACATGCAAACCCACACTCATGAGTAAATTCTGGCTAAATAATAATTTTCAGAATAAGCACAATGCAGCTGGAATTGATTGGGAGTGAGTGGAGAGACTTTCTTCTAAAGACATAATTATTTACAAAGCTGTCTACACCCAAGTGAAGATACTGTGATCTTGAAGCAGTGTTTCTGTGACAGTTTTCTTTATATGTTGCTATTTCTACACCCTGCACATGCTGCCTAGAGGGGATGATCATATCATTTGCTCTGTTTGATGTAGAAACATCTCCTCTTGGAACATTGGAAACAAGTCTTGCAGATGTGCAATTGAAGAAAATTTAATGAAGGGGCATTTTCCATGGAATAGACCATGTTATCATGAACTAATAAGGGATGGTAGTTTAGAGCCAGGCCAGTGACCTTTGCAAGACAAAACATTGATAGTGGAGGGTGCAGTTAATGGAACCAATAGGCAACAGCCAGAAACAAGTGCCAGTAAGGATCTATAAGAATGGTGGCTTACAGTAGAAGGGGGAGGGGCAACAGGGTGACTCAGAAGGAGGTGTCCAGTGGAGTAATCCTTATGATCTCTTTTCTCTTGCCCCCTTTTTTTCTTTACCCCACCTGCGACCATCTATCACTAGACAAACTTCAAATGAGCAGTGTACAAAGAGGCTAATGGCATCCTAGTATGGTTAGCTCCCTCCCGATGTATACAGCAGGCTAGACAGAGACAACATGGGGTCTGGAAAGCACATGCCAATCCAATACATCTCCACTCTGGCTCAAGCTCAGGACATGTGCAAGTGCTATGCTCTCCTTTGCTTCTGAAGATCTCACAAAAGATAGGGTTCAAAAATAATCAATTATTTTCAAGAATACAAGGAAAGGATTGTTTGTCCTTAGACAGGAGACCAAAACCCATTTGTAGAAAACAGATATGACTTAGCAGAGAGTGTGGGAGCAAGAAACTGAGCATACACCATGTGGAGTCATGACCTAACTTTTATAAAGTGGTGGCAATTGGGAGGAAAACCCACTGAATTAGGAGGACTTTAAAGCAGTGAGACTGGGCAAATAAAAGACAAGTATGAGGAATAAGACTAAATAAACAACCGAGCCTTAAAAATATCTAAGCAATTATAAAAATTTAAAAATTAGTAAAAGATAAATTCCCATTAATTATAGCAGAAGGCCATCATGTAACTTTAAAGGTCATTCGTTAAGAAGTAATGACAAAAGCATAGGATTTGGAAGGAGCCAAATTAAATATGGAAACAGAACAGTTGAAAATGTTCCTTCTAAAGAGGGAAGCAGAGGTAGGGAAGTTGTGGGTCAGTTGCTCTCCTCTGTAAGTCTGTATTGATGATATTTTTAAAAATCCATGTGTAGACGTAATTGCCACAAATGCTCCTTTTCTCCTTTTGTTTTGCTCCATTTAATTTACTGGCTTTTTAGAAATTAACTTACTAACATTGTTAGGTCCATTACCTGCCCCATATCCACCAATTAATTCCTTTGTACTCTGCACATCCCCCTTCTCCATTCTTTGTACCTCTCCTATGCTTGCCCCCTCTCTCAACTCCCATAAACACATACTTTCTCCTTGAACACACAGTGGCTTCCTCCATAAATTCCTCTCACTTTTCCATCTCAGCCTTTTTTCAAAACTTTTTCCCTGACCCAAAATGGTTTCGTCCTTTGCACTTTAATTTTGCTATGTAGCCTTCCTGGCTTAGAATAAAATAAAATCTGTGCTTTCCATGAGCTACCTTTGGATTCCTAAGTCAAAAACAAAATGTAGGTGTCTTTACAACCAGGATTGTATCTGTCCCCTTCTCTTTCTGTTTCATTGTAAATCCTGTACCGCTAGAATTTTAGTTGCAAATATATTGCTGCTAATATATTCTGCATGTAATAACTGGAATCATTTCTCAATGCTGCAACATAATTGGCAATTGTGGCTGATGCAGAAAGCATCTGATGATAGTGCACTGACATGTCCACGTCTTTCTGTTGAGGTGACTACTAGTACTTCTCAGCAAAACATTGAAATAAGCAACATTCTGCTCCTTATCAGTTGCACTGTCTTTCCCAACGATATTGATTATGGAGACTAAGTATCAATCAATAATTCGGACACTATTAATTTTAATAGAAGAGTTTCTACCCCATAAAGCTGACTATAAGGGGAAACTTCAAATTGAAGGAGGAGATACACAATGAAACCCCAGGCCCTTCAGCTGCTCTCTGAACTGAAGAAGGGAATATGAGCCCCAGACCATGATATGGTGTTTGCATGCCATTTGAAGTGTAGGGTATCATTAACTTAAATTCATTTGCAGCTGGAAATATGGGCTCAACAGCTAAGAGCACTTGCTGCTCTTGCAAAGGACCAGAGTTTGATTATCAGTACACACATGGCAGCTCACAGCTGTATGTAGCTCTAGATCCAGGGGTTGGATGCCCTTTTCTGCCCTTCCCTGACTTCAGATACTCACTTGCTTCATAGACATACATTCAGGAAAACACATGCAAATAAAAATAACATAGACATTCTTTTTAAAACTGTTTAACTTAAAATGTATCCAGACAGTAGAAAGAGGTGCTTGCAATCAGAATACCCAGATTAGAAATAACATTTGAATTTACAGTGCCTCCGTGTAGTTTCTCTCCCACAGGAGGAAAATGCAGCACCAGCTCCCAGCATCTGTTGCTCTTGTCTTAGTTTTGCCTTTACAAATACACTTAGCCTAACTATTTTTCATTTTTCTTCCAGTTACAACCTGGATTTGATCTGTGTCAATGTAACTAACAGGGACTAAAATTTTCTTTCTCATTTCCTTCAGGAAATACCACAATAAAACAGTCTCGATACAGGATTATCATCCAGGAAGCAGCCAATGGAGGTCAAGAGTGCCCAGATACCTTATTTGAAGAAAGAGACTGTGAAGATATCTCATTGTGTCCTACATACAGGTAATTAGTTACATTTGAATTGTCATTAGACCTGAGCATAATTGTACAATATTTCCTTTCATGTATGGTTGTTTAGTGATTTTTTAAGTGTAACATTTTATACCTTCAAATATTCACTAATTTTCTTCTCTTTACGAGAATGTATTCAGAAGGAATAAAGAACATGAATACCTAATTAACAAGAGACTAAAACTGGAGCATGATTGGCTATAAGTGAACTACTGGAATACTGCCTCTTCTGCAATCAGCTTTCTAGATAATGATCCAAAAAGAGACAGGATGAGCTTTTTATCTGGAACACACATACATACACACACACACAGAAGCAAATATTACACATACATGCACATAGATACAAACACATACCCTTACACATACACACACACCTACACACACCCTACACACACACACACACACCTATACATACATACCCTACACACACATATTACACACACACACACACTATATATATATATATATATATATATATATATA